CTCCTTCTCTTTCTGCTCCGACGCATTCGAAAGATAGCTCTCCTCGACTACAACAAGACTCACAAGTGCTCGTCCTAAACAGGCTTTAGCATAACTGAACTTTTGACCGTCGGGCAAAGACAAAATCCCAGCGTGGGTCTTTGGGTCCCACGACATCAAAGGGACCTTACAGCCTCTACTACCTCTTTAGGGAACCGATAGTGATTGGGCAGTTTCGGTTCGCTAACCGTTTGTAACATTGAAAACCATGGTCGAATACATCTTCTGGCAACTTTAAGTCAGTAGCTTTCTTCTCATTCACTTTAAGAAATGAAGTCCTCAAGACTATCTCAGGCTCTTCCTCTTTATCTTTCCCCGAGCCGACGTCTTGTTTCTTCTTAGCCTGCTCCTCATCTTGATTCAAGCCCCGTCTCTTACGGCAACACACTAATCTCGCACTAGGCTCCTCCAATACCTCGTCTTGTGCGACCTTGATTTCGGGAATGGGATCATTTACTGAAATTATTTCTGGTATCGATTGCAGCACTAACTCACCACCAATATCCATAACAGCTGTCGGTTGAAGATCTCCACAACTGAATTACTTTCGACAATGGAATTCAATTCGTTTCTGGCTGTCGAGGATTCGCCAGCAATGCTCCGGGAACTAGCGGGATTCCTCTTCCATGCCTTGAGAAAATTCTTATGTCCTTCCATCTCGGTTGATCTCAAATTCTTTCCTTTACCGACTTTATTCTTTAAGTTGAAATTGGGATTTTGCCTTCTGTATTCTTCAGCCTCCACGGGGTCTCGGAAACTGAAATATCCAAGTAGAGAATAATACACTACACAACAAAAAATTCCGAGTTACTACTATAATGATTAAAAAGAGATGTCGACAAACAAAGAATCCAGGACTGTTATCTCTACCTGGTTGAAACGAATGATCAAGAACTCCAGGCGATAAACCAGCAAGTTCTAACCGATAATCTTTCACTAGTCGTTGGTATCTTCGTTTATTTTTCGTAAGCTCGAACAACTTATCAACACAATTAGAAATTTCACTTTCAAACTGCGATTCTTTATTTCCTTGCGGTTTGGCTACAAAGGTCACAAAAGACCACCTGATAGCGGAAACAAAGAGAGACGATCAATAACTTCGAATAAAAGAAGAAAGTGAATATAACTTACGATAAGCAAATTTAATAGCCGTTGGGATGGTCATTCCGTTGGCCAAAAGATCGAAAGAAAACTCGGCACACTGCCAATCTCCACCAATCCACAACCATTCTTCCTGAAAGCCATGGAGGGTGTCGGGAACCTCCGTTATCAATTCTCCGACCTTAACTCTCGGCTGAGGTTTCCCAGAAATGGAAAAAGTAACGAGTGGATCCGAGATTTGTCTATCTGGATTCTTCTGAAATGTGAACATGCTCCTCATATCATTTGCCGAGGGCAGATCCCACCTCTTTTCGGCGAACAGAACCAACAAACCCATAACACGTTTCCAAGTATTTGGGGCAATTTGACACAAACTTAATTCCCAGTTTCGTAAATATTCGGTGATCATGCGGGGGACTGGAAATCGCAAACCCGATCTCAAGCTTTCGGTAAAGACACCTACACACCCCGGTGGAGGGCATGTAATTCTTTCCCCGGGGTATGGCAGAAATAACCTCACCGATGGAGGAACCCTAATATCTGTCTGCAACATCACGACGTCTGAATCGGTCAATATGCACGCCTCACCATGGAAATCTATCTCGGGGTCCGGCCATCTCCTAATAGGCCGTATCCAATATTTCGAGTGGTCTACGGCATTTTCTTCTACTTTCTTATCGCCTTCTATATCGTTCAATCGGATGTTCAAGTGTTCAACAAAAGCCTAATCCCATCGATGATATTCAGCTAATAACTCCATTTTCCCGGAGTGAACCATATTAATCATCATTACATCTCGCTCATTATCGCTTGACGATGCCCGCGACGAACTCATGATCGGGTAACTCAAATTTGAAAAAGTCAGAAGAAGAAAATGAATTTGGGGGAGGAATTCTTACCATGCAGAGAAATAGCAAGTCTAGACAAATCGTTGTGGCGAATTAAGCAAAGGATAAGCGAGCAAATTGAGAACGCCAAGTATTTGAGAAGCTGGTTGTAAAAAAATCAAAAGATAAATTATCTTTGAACGGCTTGAAGCTATTTATATGTTTTTTGCCCTAAAAATAACCGTTAGGGAAAGAGAAAGGGGGCGCGTGGACATCACTTACTCATTTCGCGATTTAATGCGTCCTTTGGAACGTGCGCCTATTATTAATAGCTGTGTGGGCTACAAAATCCAATCGTTACCTTATCAGCAACCGCTGCAATAAATAAAAGGAAATCATGTCGCTTCAGCTTTTCAACCTTTCCTCGCTTATAGTGCTGAGACATCGGATTACGACGGTGACAAACCAACATGCCCTGATTAGATGAAATAAAATTTTGTTGATATTTTACAGCATCAACACCCGTTCTCTCTTAAACGCCTGTTAATACTGGGGGCCACATTGTTGATATGATTCCTGGCTAATCCGATTAGCAACGATTACGCATGCTTAAGATCCTATAGCCTTGCCTCAAGTATGGCCATGTCGGATATGCCACGTCGGATACTACACGACACAAACTTACAACTTTTCTTGGTGAACAAGCTTCAGACACGTCACCTTTGTTCCAGTAATCGAGGTCTCTTATCAGTCGAAACCTTACCAATTGACGTCTACAAAGAAACGACTACCGACGTCCAAAGGCGGTGACAACTCAGCCCTTACTCATGATTTTTGTACAGGTGGCAGATAACCGCCTTTGACATTCGCTTCTGCATTAAATTCTATCACACCTACCTCGTACATTGGACCACCGCTCTATAAATAGCGGGTTTACTCTTAGAAAAGGGACTTTTGACCTTCAGAAATCTTGTACTGGGCATTAAATAATCATCAAGAGAAACATATAAATTCCAACGTCTTCAATACATGAAACTGACGTCCTTTTTGTTGCTTACACATCGAAATATTCATCTTTACACTACACTTTTATCTTTTAATCGTTGTTAATTCATATTTAACAACACAACTTATCTACTTTGGTGGCTCTGGAAATCAAGGACTTTGTGACAAACTCAAATCTTTCAGTCCTAGTGATGATCAAAGCAACTCACAAGGAATGGCTCGAGTTCTCTACTCTAAAGTCTAAGGTCTCAGTTTTGGTTGCTTCTGTTTTTTTTTTATGTTTGTTTTTTATCTTCTGGTTGTTTTCTTGTATTCATGTTGTTTGTTGAAAAATGAGAACCTAGCCAGGCGGTTGTTGTTGTGGTTAGATTCTTATTTTGTGGACTTGTTTATGTGTGTTGGAGTAGACTAATCTAAGGTTGTTGTCTTTGCCTTAGCTACGTGTTGTGTCCACTTTTGTTGCGATATCGTTATTGTTTTATCATTCTTTTTCTCCCATTTTAGGTCTTTTAGTTGGTTTTTAGTTCTTTTTGTGTTTTATTATGTGTTTTGTTCCATTTTGGTTTTCTTTGTGTTTTTCGTGTGTTTTCTCGGTTTTTCTTCCTTTTTGGTGTGCAGGTTGAAAAGCTCGTGAGGAATTGATTTAGCCTGAACATCGACCGGGCAATCATGGCTGGGTAAAAGGGTTCATTAGTGACATGTGGGAAAAAGTGGAGCTTGATTTTGAGTTCAGATGAATTCAGAAGGAGCCAAAACGCGAAGTTGTACGCGAATCACGTCTTTAGTGTGATGGCCAAGAGCTTTGGGAGAATTGTATTTCACGAATCATTTGATCATTCAACATCTATCTTATTCTTCTTCTTCTTCTTATTCTACTTGTTTCTTCACTATCTTTTATTGTGTTTTAAGTTTGTATTATTAAAGTGTGTTGAAGACATTAAGTTTGCATTTGCTCTGCGGATTGTTCATTAATAGTAAGTTCTATTTTTGTTTTCATTAATGATGAGTTATTTACAAGAATATTTGTTTTGTTCTATTAACATGATCAACTAATTCCCTAACTAGGGTAAGGGGATAAACGGTTCGGTTAATTATTGTTTATAAGCATTTCAATAATCTCAATCTTTACAAGTTTTATCCATTTCATGATTAAGTGCTTGATCACCATTTTAATCTATATAATCGATTTCAAAACCGAGAGGGGAGAAATTGATCGAACTTGACTTGTTTAGAATAAACATGTTCGGAAGCGTATTGTTTATGTGTTAATGGTTTCAATAATTTATGTTTTTTATGTTTATTCGCATATTACGAAAGTTAGTGAGTTTGAACCTCTAAAAGAATTAATTAATTGAATCGCTTAACTAAGTAAATTGATTGCCATAAAAGTTAATCCAACCAGAGTTGATTGTCCCCGATGCCCTAGCTATGTATATTCATTGAAATTATTTTAATTATTTAGCTTGGTTTAAATCATATTGCATTAAATTTCTAAGTTGTTATATTTAAATTGTTTTAGTTAAAAACCAAATCAACAAAATCGAATTAGAATGTTTAGGATTATTTTCTCTTTTGTGAATTGAATAAATGTACTATTTAGTCCGGCTAACTTTCCTTTGAGAACGACCCGAGTCGGGTAACTCGGCTATTACTTGCCCAAAAATATAACGAACAAAATTTGGCGCCGTTGCCGGGGAAGGCAAGTAGGACATTTGGTTTTGGTGTTGATATTATTTTTTGTGTTTCTCTTATTTTTGTGATATTTGCTTAATTTCAGTGTTTCTCTTGATTTTCTTATTTTTCATTTCTATTGTTTTTATTTTTTTTTGTAAAAATAAAAAAAAGTATTATATATATATATATATATATATATATATTTCTTATTCTCGTGTGCCTTGGTTGTTTGCTTTTCTTGTGCGAGGTGTTTTACTTGAGGAGCTCCGATGGACCCGTATGGCTATTCTTATGCCGGAAGCTCATCTCGTGGATACCCTGACAACTACCAAGAGAAGATGCACTCATATGGAGGGCCGCCCTATCCGTATCCGAACTACTCAAATTTCTATTGCTATGACGGATACACGACATCTCAAGAGTATGGCCCGAGCCATTCTTACACGACATCTCAAGGCCGATACGATTCTTACACTTCAAATCACTATGAGACGTCTTATTACCAACCTTCATCTCCCGACTATCACCAAGAGGTTTTGACGAACACTCAAGAGGTACTTGCAAGCCTCCTATCAATTATAGAGGAGTTTCATAATTGGAGGATCATTCCTGTTCCATCCGTACTTCAAACTCAACTCACAAAGGTCGACTCTACCGTAGTTTCTTTCCTCAACTTGGACACATCTCATATTCTGCTTGGTAGATATTCTTCTCTATCGGCGAAAGTGTGTCGAGAAAGTGCACGGTTAGAGGGCAAATTTCGAGCTATGGTGGAAAAGTTTGCTTCTCTCAAAGAGGCAGGCCTCACTCTCGTTTATGATGGAACACAATCTCTCGACACGAGTGAGGACATAAGCGATTTGTATGTTAGAAGAATCTCCTCTCATGATGATCCGGGATTACAAACCACATCAAACCTACATTTCGGTGATGGTGCGATCACTATTGATGAAAGCGAGTCTGTGGATTCGGAGGAAGTTACGGTGCATGGTGTGGGGAATAATTCATTGGAGGATTCGCTTATGCGGAGTGAAGCTGAAGGGGCTCGAGATCATGATTGTGAGGAGAAGATAGTTCATGATGTCGTGGATGAGGTCGAGTCATTATATGAGTTCATTGACTCAGAGTGTGCATTGATGAATGACTTGACTCATGATGTTGAGTACACGTCCGAGATGGCGTTGGTGATGACCGAGATGGATTCGATATGCTACACAGACATGTTCATAATTCCGGAGGTCGATCATAGGGCCATAGTACGTAAACAATTACATTTTCTCGTGATAGGTGTTGATATACGTGCTCGAACTCACAAGAACGTGGCCACGAGAGTCTACTTTGCCCGCCTCTATTCCGGACTACCAACGAGACTACTGTTGGAGAATACAAAGGCGTGGCATGATCGTCACTTCTTTTTGGACCCCGGTTGATTTGTACAGGTTTCGTCAAGCTAATGACGTTAAACAAGCGCTTCTTGGGAGGCAACCAAAGTTTCATTTACTGCTTTCTTGTGTGTTTCATTTATGCTTTTTATTTTATTTCTAAATAATTGGAGTTTGGGAGTTTGGTGGTTTTCTTAGCAGGAAGTATCGAGGATCGGTTGATAATGGGCGAACGGTTTGCACGTAGATGCTTATTTCATCGAGGCTACTTCAGTTTGCGCACTCTTTTCTTTTTCTTGTTTAAATTCCCAGTTTTTGTTTATATTTTCATTTATGTGTTGATGCAATGGGGACATTGCATTATTTTAAGTGTGGGGGAGTTGGCAACTCCACCGTGGATATTGCATGTTTATGTGGTAGGTTGTCGTGTTTTCGAGCATGTGGTATTGGTCAATCATATGATTTGTGGATAAATGTTTTAATGAAATTGGGAAGATGTGATGACGGACGTATTTACCTTGCCTCGATATTTACTTGATTGCGTTAATTGACATTTATTTACCTTGTGAGATTTTGATCCTTATTCTTCTTTCTGGAGAGATATTGGACGTATTCTCGAATGATTATAACTTGCCTTGAGTCTATTTGAAAGAATCGGTTGAAGTTTGAAATTGTGAAAATGATTGAAGCGTTTTGATTGTTAGCTCGTTTTGCCTTGTTCTTGACCCTAAAAATATATTTTCTGCTAGTATCCCGTTTGAACTTGAAACCTTTTTCTTGTAAGCCATATATACAAGAAAAACCGTTAATTTTAAACTGATAATAAAAACGGTTATATAATATTTTAACCGACTAGTGTCGGACCAAAAAGCTAAGTTTAAGTACTCAAAGTTTTAGCGGAAATATAGCGTGGCCAAAGCATAGTTTATACATAACAAAACAAATGTCCTGAACAGCTCGTCAGCTCACTCTTCGTCCCCGACCCTGTGGCCTGAAAAACATGAAATAAATGGGGCGTGAGTGTTAGAGGTATGCTGTAAAAGCTGTGTTTTGCAGTTTCTATCAATTCAATTTTG